GGGGCCCCTTCCCCTTCCTGGCCTCCCGGCGGGGTGGGCTCCCTGGACCCAGGCTCCGGGGCCGAGATCCCGGCGCCCTGCAAGAGGGGCGCGCGAATCTCGGGGTTTCTCTGGGGGGGCTGCCCCGGCGCGGGGGCTGCGGACCCAGTGCGGAGTCGGGCCCGGTTCGACACTGCCCCCTGGCGGTGACTGTTTGACGGAGCCTCGTGGGCAGCCGTGGTGTGTGGAGAGCCGCTTTCTCCATTCCAAATCAAATGCTTTTTGGAAGCTCCTGACTGGAAGCTTTTGCCTTGTGTTTGCCTTCAAGCTCCACAGAAGCCCTCACAGTACTTTGAGATATTATTTATGTACAGTATGTACCAGAAGTTTTAAATACCATGAGTGAAAACGCCAGGATAAACCCTTACCCTAGTTCAAGCCTTGAGTCCATCTTTCCAGCTCTCCCCACTTTCCTGACCTCAGACAACTGCATTTAATTTCTATTACTATATTTTAATTTCCCTAGAAGTTCATATAAATAGAACTACACAGGATAGAGTCTTTCATGCCGACTTCTTTTACTTAACACAGTGCTTTTGAGAGTTATCCATGTGGGGGTGTTAGCAGACCCCTCCTTATCATGGGTGTGTAATATTCCATTTTGTGCACACACCACAGCTGTTTATCTGTTTGACAATGGTGAGTAAACTAGGTGAGGCCCAACTGGGAGCACTGTCAAGATCCCAAAGGAATTTGGTTATTGGACAGTTGTTTCTGGTTTTCAGATACTATGAATGAAACTGCCTTGAACATTCCTATAAAAGTCTTCATGTGGGTATGTTTTCATTTCTCATGGGTTAAGTTACCTAGGTCGTGGCAGTGTGCCTGATTGTATGGTGTTTTAGCTGGAAGTTGTCCGATTGTTTTTCAAAGTGGTCAGGCTATTTTATACTACTATCAACAGCACATGAAAGTCCATTGCAGACTGACTGTATCTTTTTATTTTCCAAAAGTCAGTTTCTAATTGTAAGTGCACTCAATCCATTTTTTCCCCTTGATGCTTCATAGTTTATGTCCTCAAAAAAGATTTTTGCCTACCTTAAGGTGAGGTTACAAAGATGTCCTCCCAAAATTGTATATTTTGAGCTTTTTGTTTAGGTCTACCATAACATTCAAATGAATTTTTGTGTATGGCATGGACTAAGGATAATTTTCGCCCCCTCCCCAACCCCTCCCATGGATATCCCATTTCTTAGCATTGATTAAAAATACTTTTTCACTTTAAATTACCTTGGTACTGTTCACCTCAAACAAAAAAACAATCAGTTATTTCACTAACAAAGTAGACTTATTTGCAAACAACAAAAAGGCAATTTGGAAAGTGAAATCTTATGGTAAGACACAAGTGGATTGGCCAAGAGCAAAATCCAGGACCCCCTTAATAATTTCTTACTGGGCAAGGAGACATCTCCCACTTCCTTCTCCCAGGCAGAGAGGTCACTTCACTTGTGCTGAAGATGCAAAGCTTGTTGGGTCCTGTGGTTTGCTGATTGCAGGTACCTGGGAATGATCTTCTAGTCTCCTGACCACCCCATCTCCCTTAAATAGGGTTTGTATATTCATGTCCTGGTAACCTGTCAAAAATCAGCTGTGGCTAGTTCAGAGCTAGAGATAAGCAGAAGGGTTCTGGGTTCCACCTAGGTGTGGCCCAGGAAGGCTTCCTAAAGGGATGTTGAGTAGCTGAGGGAGTGGCAGCAGGGTTGTGTATTAAACTGGGTGGGTGGAAGTGGTGGGCTATAGGAGCTAGAAGTAGGCAGGAGCCAGACCTCCGTGGGGGGTGACTAGTGTGTTTTGTTTAGGAGTTTGCAGTTAGCCTGGGAAGGGCCAGCGATGACATCATCAAATTTGCTTTCAGAACTTTCACTCTGGTTGTGGAGAAAGGACTTGTCTGCAGAAGTCAGGATGGTTGTGGCAGACCAGAAAGGAGGCTGGCACGAAGGTATTACTAGACATGACCCTGGCAGGGGAACTCTGATTTTTTATTTATTTAAAAAAATTATTTATGCACATAGAATTGGGACACAGGCCGGAGTTGCAGAGGTGAGAGGATTCACCAGAGGCAGAGTGGGGAGCAAGACAGGCAGATAGACTGAAATCCACTGCTGAGGGGAGCAGTGTGCGGGTCATGAGAGGTCTGCCACTACATATGGGCCAACCCCTGGCCAGGGATTGGACTTGTGCTGCAGTGACTGCTATAGCTTCATTGTGTTGCACTTTAATCCTTTGGGCCACGTCTCTGATAGTTTAACCTGCGATTTTAGTGTCATGTTTAAGAATTACTTGTTCAGAATAAATGATGGCTGTGGACAGAAGCCCACTGGTGACTGGAGCGAGGTTGGGAGAGAGACATTCTGTGTGGGGTAGTGGTTCTCAGGCTTCAGTCTCCAGCCTGGGCTCACTCCCATAAACACTGAACCAGAAGCTCCGGCATCTGTATGTTGAAACCCCTGATGGACTCTGATACACACTTAGTGTCGTGAGCCACTAGTTCTGGTTGAAGGTAGTTCTCAGACTTGGGTGAGTGAGTGTTTGAATCTCTAGTAGGGGATATGGGACATGGAACAGATTTAGGAGGAAAAATGTAACTTTGGGTTTTGCTTACCTTGCACTTGGGTGATTTTTATGAAAGTTTGCAGAAGACAGTATGACGCATGGATTTGAAGCTCAGATAGAAGGTCTGGACAGGAACACCAATCTGGTTCCATCCACACATGGAACAGGGGTCTTTGCTTGGGAGCTGTGAATCCAGGAAATTCTATGGAAATATCATGTGTATGCATATCTGTATATTACTTTCCGTGGTCAGCAGTGTGTGACTTTGAGCAAACTGCTTCCTCTCAGTGCACCTGCACCGAAACACTGGAAAGCTCACAGTTGTAATGCCTTGGAGGTAAGTGCCTTGAAATAATCCTGGCTCTCAGAATGGTTCTGACAATGTCCCATGGTGTCACCTCCTGGAACATCAGCAGAGACTGGCCATTGTGGCTCCCTCCTGCCTCACTGTGCCCAGCGTGGGACCCTTAGGTGGTGGAGAATCCTACCTGCCTGCTTGAGAAAGCACCTTCTTGCCTTGGTCCTGATCTCATAGGACAGGAAGGAGTGCATAGACCTTACTATTTGGACAAGATATTGGATTCAAAGGATACTTTTACTTCCTAGGAAGATCTTGAATCAACACTTTTAGTCCAAATTACACTAATGCTTATTCATTCCAGACAGAGAGCTTTCTAGAGTGAACATCACTAAACAATTACTGGATCAATATCTTTTTTGTAGTATGTTTTTCTTAAATTTTAATACTTTATTAAATTTTATTTATTTATGCATACAAGAACTGGGGTATAAGTCAGAGGTGGGGGTGAGAGTATTAACCAGAAGCAGAGTGGGGAACAGAACAAGCAGAGGTACTGAAATACACTGCCGAGGGGAGCAGTGGTGAAACAGGAGAGGTCTGCCGTGGCCATGTAGGCCACCTCCATGGCTGGAAAATCAAACTCATGTTACAGTGGCTGGCGATAGCTTGGTAATGCTGTGTCTTTAAACCCTGCACCACCAGGGAGGCCCAAATTTTAATGCATTAAAAAAAAAGATTTTATTGGCCCTCCCTGGTGGCCCAGCGGGTTAAAGCACTGCACTACAAAGCTTAAGCCACTTCTCATGAGTTCGATTCCCGCCTGCCCCGGAGGAGTCCACATGGCACGGCAGACCTCTCCTGACCCGCCCGCTGCTCCCCTCAGC